CGCTGCCCGGGCTGAAGACCCCGCTCATGCCTCCCCCGGGGCTCGCCGACGGAGGGCCGCCGCTCGGGCTGAAGCCGACCCCGCTCCCGGGGCTCCGCCCGGCGCCCGACAGCGCGTACACGAACCCGTCGGGGCTGCGCGCCGTCGACGCGACGCCCCCCGGGGACAGGGAGCGCGGGGGCCGAGGCGGGCCGCCCGAGCTGCTGCGCGGGACAGCGCGGTTCTGGAACTGCGGCTGCGGCAAGCGCTGGGCGGTCGAGCGGCGCGCCCGGTGGGGCGGGGGCAGGGCCGCGGACCCGGAGGAGCCCGGCGGGGTGGGGATCCCCATGGCGCCGGGAGAAGGGGTCCCGCCCGAGGCGCCCAGGCTCATGATGTTGGGGGACGCCGGGGAGGACGCCTGCAGGCCGGCCATGCTGCCGGTAAGGCCCGCCATGGTGCGCGAGCCGGGCTCCGGGGAGTGGCTGAAGGAGCGCCGGCGGGGCGAGCAGTGGCGCTTCACGGCCGGGTACATGGCGTGCGCCGACTGCGTCGACGAGGGCTTGGTCCACTCCGCCCCCGGGCTGTCTCCGCGGGTAGAGTCGAGCAGGGGCGACTGCTGCCGGCCGGCGATCCCCAGCACACCGGCCTCCGCCGGGTTCTTGAGCGGGGGCGGCCGGCGCGCCCCCTGAGAGGAGCCGCGGGGCTGGGCCGTCCACACCCACGGCTGAGGGTTGTGAGCGGCCGCCTTGCCGTCCTGGCCGGCGCTGCCCGGCTCGCCGCCGGCCGGGCCTTCGTCGGTGCCGCGGCGCTGGGTGCTCAGGAAGCTCTCGCCCGTGAAGCTGCCGCTGTCGCCGCCCCCGCCGCCGCTGCGCTGGCTGCTCAGGAAGCTGCCCGAGCTCGACGAGTTGCTCCCGAAGGTGCCGGTCCGCCCGCCTGGCGCGGGCTGGCCGCCGGAGAAGCTCGTCCCGCCGGAGGAACCGGACGAGCCGGCCGCCTCCCACCGCGGGCGGTAGTCGGAATAGGGCATGTCCTTGCCGGGCCAGGAGCCGGAAGCCGGGGCGCGGTCGCGGGCGCGGGCGCGCTGCTGCTTCTGCTGCTCCTCGAGGGCGGCCGCCGCCGCAAGCCTCTCGCGCTGCGCGAGCATGAGCAGCGTGTAGCCGGCCCCGCCGTCGCCGCGGTGGAGGGAGCAGAACTGGACGTGGGTGGAGTCGGTCGTGCCGCTGGGCTGCCGCTTGCAGCCGGGCGAGTCGCAGCGCCGGGAGACGACGTCGACCATACCCTGTGATTGGTTGGTTCGAGATGGTCCGGGAGGAAGGGGTCCGTGGCGTTGGATACATGCACGTCATGGTGGGACCAAGGCTTCTACACATCGGCACGGAAAGGTAGACGCGAAGCAGACGGCGGTTTTGAAAGAAACACTTGTGCTGTGCTATCTATGAACCTGTATGCATGGTGCCCTACGGGGCAACCAGTGATGCAGAGCTGAACACGTCCAGAGCAACGCGACAGCACAAACGCCTTCGGCAACAACCTTGTGAGTGCACGATACACAACCAACGCTGCTGACGCTAAGTGGTAAAACAATGTGAAACAAACGGGGATTCCAACCGCCCTGGGGACGTCACGCGGCTCTCACCCCTGATCGGTGCAGCGAGCAGAAGCGGCCCTTCTCCCCCTCGAAGCCAAACACGGGCCTCTTCTTGCAGCCTGGGTGCTGACATCGCTTGTTCACCACATCGACCATGCCGTCGCTCTGAATCATGCGCGTGGCGAGCGGACAAAAGGAGGCCAACAGTAATCGTTGAGCTTTTCCATCTAGTTGAGGACATGAGCGTATAACCACGACGTGTACGCATATAAAGCCCACAGCCACACAGAAGACGAGCCTGGTGCTGTTGCCAGAGGACAGGTCATTGCCAACGCTGGCTGGCTGGCTGGCTAGCAACGCCATCACCCGCAATAAAGTACATGGGTACACAAATCCTCCTCTGCGTATCTCTCAATTCTCCTCGTCATGTGGCACCAACCAACAAAGAACGTTTCATTGGGTAGGTCGACTTTAACGTCGTGTCTGTGGGCAAAAGCCGAGTATATCGAAGGAGCTGGGTTCGGCACATCTTGTTCCAGCGTTCTGCTGCCTCTCTGCGCACTACTCGCTGCCACTGTTCGTTCTCCTCTCGGGAGTGGCCTCTCTTTCACTCGTGGACGTTTCTTCGAAGATTTTTTTTCCCGATGTTGGGTTGCGGACATTTTCCTCCGCATCCATGAGTTCGAAGGAAGGTGAGCGTGGGATCGACCGTGGATTTTCAGCAACGGGCATGGATAATTGTCGGCGTGTTATTTAAATATGCATAGCTTACAGGACAGACGTTCGAAACTACGCAGGATGCCGTTGATGCCCCCTGTCGTGACGATAAAACCGGTGTCCAGCACACCTCCCCTTACAACAACGACAACAGACCAAGAACTACAACTTCAAAGGTCACACGTTCAGGATGTGGTGAAAGTCTCGCCGTCTCCGAATAGTCACAGCTGCTTCGTGCGTGGAAAAGCATCTCCGGATGGGAAATGTAACGGTGGGGTAAGGAAAAACCCCGACAAGGAACGACGGACTGAGACCATGGCTCCGCTACGCCAAATTCCAATCCCGAGGGCATTCTGGTCGGCAACAGCAGTAAATACTGGGGAGAGCACAAACTCTGCCTCAACAAATACCAAGAGATAAACTCTGCTGCATGTATGGTACGATATCTGTCGGCTGTTTTCCGTTTGAGCCAATTCCATTCTAGCCTCGTTTATTAGTACTGCTGTCGCATTCGTGTGTACGACGATGATCTTTGTCCATCTGATGTAATAGAGGTGGGAGGGTGAATTGGCGGTTGTGGAGTATCGCATCTTCGATTCATTTTTCGAATTTTAGATTTGACTTAGTCATATAGTATGGTCTTTATGCATATACCTGCATACTTCAGGGTGGGCTAGTGTTATGTGGGTATGAGTAACAGGGTCTGAACGGTAGTTCTACCGCAATATTGTAGGCAAGATATTTAGACAAGGTGTGCTGCCTTTTTTAAATTAATGTAGTTAAATAATCAAGAGGACAAGAACGTATCTACAGGTGAGTCATCATAAGGGTCTTCAGGGAGTGCTACGTATGTAACCTCACAACATATCTACGTGTTTCAGTGAATTGGGCGAAAAAAAAAAAAAAAATACATGGGTGATCTCGTCATGTATCTTGTAGTTTGGGCCCCAACGCGCTGGAACAACGGAACAACTATAATACGTAAAGTACATACATACCGTATATGACACAAGATAACACACCCCCTGGACCGATTTTCAAAGCTCGATTACTCCACGACGAAGAGGATGCATAAATGAAACAATACGTTTTCGAACAGCTCTCGACGAGACGGTTCCAACGCCGCCGTTTTCGGCGCTGTGACTCTTCCAGCTGTTGAGAAATCGAGCT